TAGGCACCTGGGGCAAGAGATTACAGATGGAGACATACAATAGACATTAGAAAAACCTGGAATGAAACTCTGGCAAGTAAGCCAAGTGTACAGGGGAGTTGAGAGCCACATGCAGGCCTAGGTGTAAGACATATGCTCATAAAAGACCTGAAGCTTCCCCCTAAGGCTGATCCCTAGGCTCAGAGAACATCCAAGCTAAAAGAGAGTGCGCAAAGATGGAGAGATGACTGTGTCCTCAAAACCCAATTTCAGAATAAATCATACACCACACACAAAAAAAACAGGAAAACATGGTCCATTCAAGGAAGAAAATGAAGTGGCAGAAACCATCCCTGAAGAAAGAGTGCATCAGATGTATTAGACAAAGAGCTTAAAACAACTGTCTTCAGTACACTCAAGAAGCTAAAGAAAAACACAGTTTTAAAAAACTGAAGGAAATCAGAAAAACTATATGTGAACAAAATTAGAACATTCCAATGGTATTTTTCAGAAAACCAGAACAAACATTCCTAAAATTTATATGGAATCACAAATTTCCCCAAATAGCCAGAGCAATATAAGAAAGGATAAAAAAGCTGGTGGCATCACATTCCCCGATTTCAAACTATATTAATCAAAGAATTTGGTACTGCATAAAAACAGACACATACATCAATGGAACATAATAAAAGCCCAGAAATTAACCCACACTTAATCTATGACATTGGAAGGAATATACAGTGGGGAAATGACAGCCTCTTCAATAAATGATGTTGGGAAAATTGGACAGATACAAGCAAAAATAAACTCAAAGTGGATTAAGACTTCTATGTAAGGCCTGATATCATAGGCAGGAAACTCATTGACATTGGTCTTAGCAATATTTTTTTATAGATATCTTCTCAGGTAAGGACAATAAAAGAAAAAACAACTAATGGGTGTGCATCAAACTGAAAAGATAACCTACTGATTGGGAGAAGATATTTGCCATGACTTAGCCCATAAGATTAATAGCAAAAATAACTCACACAATTCAACATCAGAACAGCAAACAATTTTAAAATGGGCAGAGCACCTGACATTTCTCCAAAGAACATATACAGATGGCCAACAAACATGAAAAAAAAATGCTCAGTATCACAAATCATCAGGGAAATGCAAATCAAAATCACATTGAGAACCTCACACCTGTAAGAATGCTACCAAAAAGTCAGCAAATAACATGTGTTGGTGAGGATATGGAAAAGAGGGAACCCTTTTTTTTGCATAGCTAGTGGGATTGTATATTGATACAGCCATTATGGAGAACAGTACAAATAGAATGACCATAAAACTCAGCAATTCCACTTCAGGATATTTATCTGGAAAAAACACACACGAAAACACTAACTCAAAAACAAATATGCACCCCTATGTTCATTGCAGCATTATTTACAATAAACAAGATATGGAATAAACCTAAGTGTTCATCAACAGATGAATGAATAAAGATAGATATAATTCAGCCATAAAAAATGGAATCTTGCCATCTGAAACATGGATGGACCTAAAAGGTGTTATGCTAAGTTAAATAAGACAAATACCATCTAATGTCCCTTATATGTGGAATCTTTAAAAACAAATACAACAAAAGAGAAACAGACCCCTAGAGACAGAGAACAAACTGATGGTTTCCAGAGGGAAGGGAGTGGGGGATAAAAGGTACAAACCTCCAGTTATTTTTTAAGTCATGGGGATATAGTATAATAAAAATAGTCAATATTTTAATAACTTTGTATGGTGATAGATGGTTACTAGACTTATTCTGGTGATAACATGGTAAGGACTATAAATGTTGAATCACTATGTTATAGTCCTGAAACTAATATAATATTGTATGTCAACTATAACTTGAAAAATTATAACAGAAATTTTGGATCTGAAAAATACAATATCTGTATTGAAAATTTTCAACAGCAGGTTTAAGTAGGCAGAAGAAACAATTAGCAAACCTGAAAAAAAGGATTAACAAGTCTAAGGAGCTGAATGAAGAAAATGGTATCAATATACACATTGTGGGAGTCCCAGGAGGGTTCAGTGTCTACTACTTCCATTCAACATAGATAGCATTGGAAGTTCAGAGTATTAGGCAAGAAAAAGTCAAGCCATCCAAGTTGGACAGGAAGAAATAAAGTTATCTCTGTTCATAGATGACATGATATCATATATAAAAGCCTAAAAAAAATCTCAGAGCTATTTAAACAATTCAGTTTGTAATAGTACCAGAAATAATAAATACTTAGGAATAAACTTAACCAAGGAGGCAAAAAGACATCTTGTGTTCATAGATTAGAAAACTTAAGATTTCAATATTGCTCAAATTGATTTACAGATTTAATTCAATTCCTATCAAAATCCCAATGACTTGAATTGCAGAAATAGAAAAATGCTATAATTCACATGGGATCTCAAATGGCCAGAACAAGTTGAAGATTTCACAATTCCTGATTTCAAAATTTACTACACAAAGTTTCAGTAATCAAAACAGTATAGTGCTAGCAGAAAAACACAGACATATAGACCAACAGAATGGAATAAAATAGCCCAGAAATAAACTCCAGCATACCTGTATATGGTCAGATGAAGTGTGTCAAGATCATTCAATGTGGAAAGGACAGCCTTTGCAACAAATGGTGCTGGGAAAATTGTACAGACTCATGCAAGAGAATGAAGTTGGATCCTTACCTTATACCATATACAAAAATTAACACTAAATGAATCTAAGAGTTAAAAGTATAAAACCCTTAGAAGAAAAACAGGGAGGGGAGAATCTTCATAATAATGCATTTGGCAATGATTTCTTGAATATGACATTAAAATCAAAGGCAAAAAAAGAAAGATTTGGCAAACTGGATATCATCAAATGTAAAAGCTTTTCTCATTAAAGGACACTATCAACAGAGTAAAAAGGCAACACACAGAATGGGAGAAAATTCAGTTGACCCTTGAATAACATCAGTGTTAGGGGTGTCCACTGCCACATGGTCAAAAATCTGTTTATAACTTTTGACTCCCAAAAAACTTAAGTTATCCCTCAGTATCCACAGGATATTGGTTCCAGGACCGCCCCAACCCTGCAGATACCAAAATCTACAGATGCTCAAGTCCCCTATATAAAATGGCATAGATCAGTGCATACAGTAAGCCCTCCACACCCATGAACTCTCAACCATGGATGAAAAACAGTATAGTATTTATTGAAAAAAATCTGCATATAAATGGACCAACACAATTCAAACTTGTGTTGGTCCAGGGTCAACTATATTTGTAAATCATAAATGTGATAAAGGATTAATATCCTGAATATATATAAGAGAACTATAAGTCAACAACAAAACACAAAGCCTTGAATACTAGTAGATATTTCTCTAAAGAATATGTATAAATGGCCAATACACAAATGAAAAGATATTGAACATCACTAGTAATTAGGGAAATGCAAATCAAAACCACAATGAGATACTACTTATCCATTAGGATTGTTATTTTTTAAAAAAAAAAGAAAATAACAAATGTTGACCAAGATATAGAAAAACTGGAACCCTTATGCACTGTTGATGGAAATATGAAATGGAATAATTGCTGTGGAAAACAGTATGGAGGTTTTTCAAAAAAGTAAACATAGAATTATTACCTTATGATCCAGCAATTCCACTTCTAGCTATATACTCAGAAGAACTGAAAGCAGGAATTTGAACAGATATTTGTACACTAATATTCATGATGGCATTATTCACAATAGCTATAAAAATAAAAACCCATATGTTCATTAGCAGATACAAGGATAAACAAAATGTGGTGTATGCTTACAATGGTATGTTATCCAGCCTTAAAAAGAGAAATTCTATATGCTAAAACATGGATGAACCTTGAAAACATTTAAGTTAAAGAAGCCAGACACAAAAGAACATACACTGCATGATTTCACTTAAATGAGGTACCTGGAGTCAAGTCATAGAAACAGGAAGTAGAATAATGGATACCACAGCCGGGGAGTTCAGGATGATGAATAAGTTCTAGAGATGAATAATGTTAATGGTGTACAACAACATGAATGTACTAATGCCATTGAATTATATAAAATCATAAATTTTAACAAATTATGTATATACTAGAGGCCCGGTACACAACATTCCTTTGAAATCCTTTGAGCATCTGATAAAAGCTAGAGCCTCTTGCTAGAAAAATGTCAATAAACACAAGATTTCTGTTTAAAATTTTAAAGGTTAACAACTCTCCTGGGGTCCCCTAGGAAGTCCAAAGACCCCCCGAATTAAGGACTTTGGTTCTAAAGTGACCTCTAAGGGATATCTGGCCTCTTACTCAAATAGCAGATGTCAGCTAAGGCCCGCTGCTTTTGTACTTCACAGACACCATTGTTACGGGCATTTACTGTGCTAGACTCTGGCTCTGCCAACTCTAGGAAAAGCTTAACCATCTCCATGAGCACATATCATCAAGAGAATGTAAGCAGGGACTAGTTGTACATACCTAAGTCTGCTTCTGTTCAGCCATCCTGGGTTTAACCTGGAGAAAATGAAGCCAAAGGAAAGAAAGAACTCATAGACTTGGTTACTTGGGTGGATTTAGCAAGAAAACAATAAATCAAGTAATTCTCAGGACTAAAGGTGGGACTGAGGGGCTTTTCTTAAAGTCTTCACCTCTAAAGGTTACCAGCACATTCCTGGCCCCTTAGGCCAAGAAATCCTTCACCTGTTTAATCTGGGAGGGGTTGGCATTCTCTGATTGGCTCTACAACTACCATTAGCCATTTGCTAGCAGCATGCTCACAGACCACAGGAAAGCTAACCCTTCCACTGTGGCACAAAGGAAACATGCCAGTGAACGCCCTTTAGTTGGCCCAAAGAGGGGCAAGATGAATGATCTGGCCCTGCACATGTGTCCCATGCAGCCTGAATACTGCAGCCTTCCCCTGGCTTGCCTAACATTATATGTATATGTCACCTTTCTCTTCTTACCAGTGCAACGGGCCTTGCATTGGGCCTCACCTAGCTGTGCAACACAGACAAGTCTTCTGCCAGACACTGGACGGCGTCACCTTACCGTCAGAGCAGTGCAGTGCCCTTCCGAGGTAAGAGAAAACCATGGGCCTCCTTGCCCCAGTCCCTGTGTCAATAGCACAGAAAGATGGTGGTGAATGAATGTTTCTCCTCCAATCTCCCATGGTCCCAGGGGTCACATACCCTGCCCTTTCACCTCAGTTCTCCCAAGGGAGAAGGCTCAGTGGTGGCCTTGTATTTACTGGATGGGCGAGGCTGGGCGTTCCTTTCTCGGAGATAAAGATGTATAGGTTCCTCTGAGGAAAGCCTGAAACCATAAGAAACCTGACTAGCCCCAGGGTGGACAGGAGGTGAAGTCCACAAAGTGGTCACCAGATCTTAAGGGCTCCAGCAGCCCCCCTCACTCTTGTTGACCTCCCTCTAGAAGTTATGCTGACATGAGAGCCTTTGTCCCTGAGTCTCTCCCTGTCATCCCTCCTTTAGGTGTCCTCCTGGGGTGATGGCTCACTACCCCCACATAAGGCCCCTGAGGCTGGCTCCAGGCTCTGCCTCTGCAAACCTGCACCCTGGGTTGAGCCCATTCTCAGGTCCTGCAGTGAGGCAGGCATTGTAGAGATGAGCAGACAAAGTCCCAGTTAGAGGAGGTAGCCTTCTGAAATCTTAGAGCAGCGGTTCTCAACCTGTGGGTCGCGATCCCTTTTGGGGGGTCAAACGACCCTTTCACAGGGGTCACCTAAGACCATCGGAAAACACATATATAATTACATATTGTTTTGTGATCAATCACTATGCTTTCATTATGTTCAATTTGTAACCATGAAATTGGGGGTCACCTCAACATGAAGAACTGTATTAAAGGGTCTCAGCATTAAGAAGGTTGAGAAGCACTGTCTTAGAGCCTTTCAGTAACAGAGCAGAGCCCAGGTCTGGTAACACTGGAAGCTCTTCATTGCCCAACATGCTTGGGGTGCCAGTGTTATTGTCACATCTGTCCCCACCCTGCATCCAGCTCCAGCCCCCACAGAGGCAGAGGCTAACCCTGCCCTCCTCCTCCTGCAGGCCCGTGAGCACCCAGAACTGCTGGTCAGAAGCCTGCAGCGTACACTGGAGGGTCAGCCTGTGGACCCTGTGCACAGCGACCTGCGGCAACTACGGCTTCCAGTCCCGGCGTGTGGAGTGTGTGCACACCCACACCAACAAGGCGGTGCCTGAGCACCTGTGCTCCTGGGGGCCCCGGCCCGCCAACTGGCAGCGCTGCAACATCACCCCATGTGAAAACAGTATGTTCCGATCCCAAAGAGCCTTCCGCAAACTCCCCCCAGGGCACCGGGTGCAGAGGGCAGTCCCTGGGCCCGAGCCTGAGCACAGGGCACTGGATCAGGCTTCCCAAGGACTGTGAGCTGGGGCTAGAGTTAAGTATTTTCAGAGGGGTGCATGGGTGTGTGCAAGGATGTGTGTACACATATTCAAGCCACAGAAGATGGCTGAGTGCCCTAAGGGCTCTGTCCTGGCCCTGAAAGAGCCAAGTGCCAGATGAAATCAGCCTCCAGCTCACCTGCAGTCGTTTGGCAGGTGCGCAGGGGACAACTGGACTGTGGTCTCGGAGGAGGGCTACTAAGGAGAGAGCACTGTGCACACTAAAGCAGCACGCAGAGTGCCTCCGCTCAGCAGGCCCAGCGCCCATAACAGCTCTGCTTCTCACAGAGCCAGGCTCTGCTAACCACCTCCCTCCTCCCCTGCCCCAGGGCACCGACCACACTGAGCCCCCCTGCCCAGGGATCTGACACTCATTCACTCCCTCCTTCTGCAGGTCTGGTCCTCCTCAGCCCTACACCAGCATTTGTATTCCTGTTGGGTGGGGATCTATTTTTTATTCCTTTGGACCCAAAACAAATTGGAGGTGTTTCCCCCACAGGGAAGATGACAAAGCGTGAGGCAAAGACTAGGAGACTTTCCTGGTGCAGTGCCGTTTCCTCCCAACAGGGACTCCCTGGGCATCAGATTCCCAGCGCGGAGGCAGGAGACCTGGAGGCCAACAGTCCCCTTACCTTCAGTCCTGGTGGCTTTCTCTACACTGGGGTGGGTGGGGCTGACCCATCTTGGTGGTAGGAGCTCACCACACGGAGGACCAGTGTTCAATGAAAGGAGTTCAGACTAGGTCAATCCGGGATGTCCACACCCCAAATCAGCGCCAGTGCTGAGGAACTTGCAGTCTGTGCCTGTACTGACCTAGAAGGTCGTGGTGCCTGGTACGGCCTGGTGATGAGAAGCAGAGAGGCACAGGTGGAGACTATGCCAAGACAAAGCTGCTCAGGGGGGTGAGGCCATCAGCTAGGGCCTCACTTACATGCTACCTTGCAGTGGAACAAAATGTAGTCCTTCTGGAACCCATCTCGAGGAGAGTCACTTACTAAAATACTAAAATACCATGGGAGACAGCAAGCTTGCCTGGGAGGTGAGGCGGGCCAAAGACAGGGAGCCCACAGGCACCGGCAGGAAGGGGGGTGCTCTCAGAAAGGCCCCGTGTTGGCAGCCAGGGGCAGGAGGGGTGGTGGCTGAGCTCACGGGACAGCAGTGTCCCCTCCAGCACAGGAGTCCGGTGCCCACGGCAGACCCCAGGAAACACCCAGTTGGCCAGAACCGTTAATCTCCGTTTCCTTTCTGCTCCCACCCCCTTCCCAGTGGAGTGCAGTGATACCACCAGGTACTGCGAGAAGGTGAAACAGCTGAAACTCTGCCAACTCAGCCAGTTCAAGTCTCGCTGCTGTGGAACTTGTGGCGAAGCGTGAAGAGGAGGCCTAGGGAAGACCGACCCTGGCTGCACAAAGGACTCACGCAACCAGCTTGGACAGAACTTAAGCTTTCTTCGTTTTATTTATTTCCCCCTCCCTGCCCCCAACCACGCACACCCCCATCCAACCCCCACCGCCCCCACCCCCAGACTTGAGGACCTCAGCATGCCTTCTCTTTCAGTTCGATGGAGGACAGAATGTTGGGAACAGACAGGACAGAGGTCTAAAGGAGGTTGCAGAACAGACAGGGCCAGACAGTGGGAGCTCCCGTGCAAAGCCGGCTCCCTCCCAAACCTGGGTCCCAAAGAGACCTGGGGAGAGGCAGGTACAGCCCCTCGGGACAGCGTGGAGCCAGAGCTCCCAGGAGGCAGGTGAGCAGGTCCCAGATGATTTGGAAAGCATTGGTCCTGACTTTGGACACCAACTGGGTCTTGCCCACGCACTGTTCACGCAGGAGAGCGCTGCTCCTGTCTCCTCCTCTGCCTCTGTCCCTAGGCCTCAGAAAGGGCGAGGGAACACCATGCTGAAGCAGAAGCAGCCCAGAACTTAGTTCTTCTGCTGGGAGGGGAGGTGGAGGGCACAGCAACAAGAACTCAAAACATGGACACGTGGGGGAAAAGGAGACAGTCCAAGTAGGCCTAAAGGACACAATGCAGAAAAAGGGAGTAGAGGGGTAGGGGGACAGAAGCAAGAAAGCCTGTGCATGTTCCTCAGGGGAGAGTTGAGGGAGACAGGGGAGGAGGGAGTAGCCAGGAGGCTCCCAGAAGGGCTCTGAACCCCCTGGGTGTGGGACCCCGGCAGGCTCAGGGGAGGGGCCGCTCGGAGCTCTGCTGCCCTCATGGCTGAGGCTTTGGTATGAGACATGCCCTCCATGGGGTGGAGGGGAGGCTCTCTCCCCATGCTGTCTCAGAGAACCTTCTGCCTGTACACCTGCAGCAAAACCACCCCTGGCATCTCTATCTAAGTCCGGAGTTCCCCAAGCCTGGAACTCACTGCTGATGTGAGCCAGGGGCATCTGAGCATGGATGGCCTTTGCTGCCCCACTTAAGAGCCAGGGAGTAGAGTCAATTTTCAAAAACCAATTCATTATAATCAATTTGCCTGAGAGCAGCCAGCAGGACATAGCAGCCACTTCATTCCAGAGCTGTCCGGGGGTCGGGGGGGCGCTGTAGGCTTGTGGGAGCCCTGCCCAGACCACAGTGAGAGTTCCCTCCTGTCTATAGAGCAGGTTGGGGCAGGGTGTGGGGTGCAATGGCAAAGCCAAAAGATAACTAACGCTTCCAAGACTGTCCTCCAAGGCTTTCAACCCATTCCCCACACACAGTGAACTACCAGGAGTCCACATATGCCAGTTTTGGTGATTGGGCTAATTGCTTATTCAGCAAGTGGCTTTGGACGCATGATTTTGGCCATCTCCCCGAGTGGCCACAGTTTAGTCGTCATGGCAGGTCAGGGCGGCGACAGTCACTCACCTTCAGAGAAAGCACCACTCCCTCGGGGCCGCCGCTGACATCAGGGCAGTGTTTTCCAGCCTGCAAGGACATTGGAGGGGAGACGACGTTCATCTGTGTCCTCCCCAGGTGAGCTGTGGACAGTTAGGTGGGTTTCCTTCTTCCTCACCACAAACATGGGCTCTAAGAAATCATGTTACTAAAAATCAGTGTAATGTTTATTTAAAATAAAAGAGAATGTGTTCTATGTCTGTATATCTTTTGTGAATATTTATTAGGATTTCTTGTATAAAAAAAGTGCAATATTAATAATTGTACATTGTCATCCAGAAAACCAAGTATTTGGGGGACTCTTTAGTAACTTCTTGCAGTTGTGTTTCTGTAAACTCTGGTGATTATTGTATTGTTCCTCTTTTTAATAGAACCTGATGTTTAACTCTGGATCCATTCACTGTGTACAGAGACATTGTAAAAACTAACATGGGATGATGGGGCAATGAGAGAGAATTCATTTGTGACACAGTAGTTAACACGTGGGGTGAAGAAGACAAATTCTATCCTACTGCTAATGTGGCTGGTTATTTCCAGTTCAATAGCTTTTGAAAACCACGGGCCAATATTCACATTTCCTACACAGCAGGTGTCCTCAGCTCCCCCGTGTCAGGCTGGAACCTCTGAAATGTGTTGGAGGGCCTGGGATTGGGGTAGGAAGCCGTGTGCCCCTTGCATGACATGAATGTTCATTTATTGTTTGTTCTGTGAATTGTGACTCAGCAGCGCCCCAAGATTATTAGGGCTGCTGAATAATGTGGAAGGAGGCACTTCCTCCTCTAAAACACAAAACTGTATTTATATTTTTTGTACAGACAATACAGCTTATTTATTTAAATCATGTCGTCTGAGTCTCTCTTAAGCTCAGCCCTCCCACCTTGTGTTGTGTCGGCGAGAGGGTGGTTCCCGGCCACTTATCTGTGTCTGGCTAAAGAGGGAGAATTGCAGTTTTCAGCTTCACAGGGGGTGTTGGGGGCCCAGGCCTGGGAGGGCCGGCTCTGTAACTGAAGCCAGAGGGGCTGTGGCTCTGGATGTGCACATACTCAGTCTCAGTGCTGCCCTTGACAGTCGTCTTATTTCCGGCCCTATAGAGTGGGAAGACGGGAGGCGCAGTGCCTTTGGGAAGAGAAGCACAGGCATGTGTGGGTACGTGCCGGCTTGGGTGCAGGAGGAGCCTCACTCCGGGCCAGGCTGATGTGCCGTGTGCAGTGTGGAGTAACCGCATGCTGAAGTTGTGCGTGTATGCTATTGGCAGGGGCTAACATTTCTAGATCCTGCCACAGTTAATCCTCATATCAACCCTATAATTATCTCCATTATGAGAAGCCCAAGGTCATCCAGCTGGTGGACCCGCTCCAAATGCCAGTCGTCTGGCTTTTTAGCCAGAGCCTCACTCTTACCCACTGTGCTGTCTCCAGCTCCTCCGTGTGAGCGCCGACCACGCGTGGCCACCCTGGCGTGTGCCCCGTTCCTCCTTACTGCTTGGCGGTCGCTAGAGATGACAATAGCACATTTTACGGGGGTTATTTTATTGTCCCCTAAAATCAATTGTGGCATCTTGGGGCTCCTCGCTCCCTCTTTTTACATAGAGCTACTGTGGAAAGTGTCAAAACAAAACAGCATATCACCGAGCTCTTCATGAACAGGCTCTGGGGAACGTCGGCGCGTCCCCAGGCCCAGACAATGGCCAGGCGTGGAGCTCCGTGAGCCGCCCTGGCCAGAAAGCCAACCTCCAGCCTGTTTGCCAGCACTGACTTCAGCGCATCACACTCTGCTGAGCAGCATAAAAATATACCAGAAAGCTCGTCTTGAAATTCCAATCATTTCCTAAGGCATTTTAGATGTTGCCAATGCTAGAACTATAAATACATACCAGCAACCAAACAATGCGCTACAGAAACTCCAGGAGAGGGCGGATGAGTCAGATGCCAGAGTAAAAACCCAGGAAGGCTAAACCATGGAAAGGGCTTGAGTAGAGCACATGGAAAATTTTCCAGCCAAAATCACAGAGCACAGCACGGAGTAAAGAAGACATACCTTCCAAGATGCCACCAACCACAGTGTAAAAGTTTGGGATGTTAACCACAGGCCAGTCTTGGGGTTGTAACTCCTCACACTACCGTCCCCTGCTTGGCCTCAGATGTTTCCAGGACTTTGGCAAGATGAGCCCAAGAAATCTGTGAGTCCACTGAGACCAGAATAGGCAACCATCATCCAAGCTCATTTATGCCTCAACTTCTTCACCTTTCAAAAGAGGATACTTCATAGGATAGGGTTGTGGTGAGGAAACAATTAGTTACTTCCTGTCAAGGAAATATAAGGGTGCCTGGTGTATCGTTGATGCACTCACTGAATGCTAACTGCTATTATCACCATCCAAGTTACTCAGAGAGATGGGGAGATGAAGGATAGGCTGGCAGAAATATCACATTACTTCCCATGGTCAACACCGGAAGATTCCCCTGTGTTTTCATTCTTGATTGAGAAGGACATCAGTCATTCATTCAGAGTTCACTACTGCACAATAGTGTAAACACCAGAGGCGTTAGCTAGTAAACCAAGCTCTGTGTCTTGGAAGAAAACAGATCAGCCCATGTGGCTAACTCAAAGACTCACCAAAATACTGACAAACTTCCAGAAATACCTCCCAAGACGTTATCTTATGATCCAAATGTACAGCCCCGTCTCAATTCAAAAGACCCAAATGCCCTGACAGATGTGGCTCAGTGGTTGAGCGTCAACCTATGAACCAGGAGGTCACAGTTTGATTCCTGGTCAGAGCACATGCCCAGATTGTGGGCTCGATCCCCAGTCGGCAGGAGGCAGCTAATCAATGATTCTCTCTCATCATTGATGTTTCTCTCTCTCTCTACCTCTGAAATTAATAAAAATATTTTAAAAGATACCCAAATCTGCACACATGGGCTATTTCCTTTAAGTTACTTTTTAAAATGATGTTCATTCATGAATAAACAAATAAAAGAAAAATTATGGGTATTTCACTTACCATGTCGTATATTTTCTCATAGGCAGCAGGCTATTGTCCACTCGCCTCGGGAATTATCCTGCAGATAAACCCAAAGGAAATAAACCAATTTTATTAATGGCTCTCAGCTAAAATTAGACAAGTTAGATCTCAGTAATCTATCTGTGGGCTCTCCAAAATAGGTAAATTCATCCCCAAAGGGTAAGAGTTAGGGTTGGGGTGGGGTAGAGAGAAAGATGACCCTCTTGGAGAATAACCCAGTGAAAATTGATCTGTGGTGAATTAATCCAAGAAAGGATAAGTTAGGAAACTAAATAAGGTGACACCTCCTTGCTTGTGTCTCTCTCTGTCCCTCATTAACTGAGTCGGCTATGATTTAAAGACCTCAGGATTCAGACTCAGAATGCATTGAATGTGAGTTAAATCAAGGAAGGTTCCCTACCCAGGTCACACACTGCCAACTAGGAAAATATTGGTCTTAATGCAAACCTTGAAGTAAACAGTAGAAAACTAAATACCAAATGAATTCTACCAATCTTCTAAGCTTCACCTAAAATTCTTGTCTGTCCCACACACATCCATCCTGTCCTTTTAGAGCTGCTTTTACAGGTCAAATGTATATGGGTTGACCAGTGAGTGTTATCTTTAGTCAAAACTCAGCTTCATATTCATAGCACCCCAAGGTTTTCAACTGTTTTTCGCCACCCCTAAAGGGGAGGGAAGATATTGCTAACCAAGCCTTTGCTAACAAGAACTGCGCCGTCACCTTGCCTGTCAACTAGAGATTTACCACTTCACTCAGATGGGTTCTGTGGAGCACCTGGTCCCAATCAGCCACGTGTCACGCTTCTGATAACACAATATACAGATGTCACTCACCTCTGTGTTTTCCAAAGGCGAGATCCATCTTCAACGAAGGATTTCCCAGGCTGCTCCTAAAGACATGGTCTATATATGTGTAAACAGAAATTAAATGTGAAGTTGTAGGTAAGTGTAGAGCAAGCAGACAGTGGGGAACGGTTCTCCTGCCGAACATAAATAACGTTTGTTTGAACAGAAGGCTTCGGAGGGCCTGGGAGGTTGAACAGTCATCATTTAGACCAGAAAGCATGCCTGGGAAACGTGCCTCCTTCTTTACGATGACATAAACAGCCCTCCTCCAGGTCTGCGTGATGGCCAGGGGTGACCTCGTTACAAATCCCAGGAAGAATAGTAGACAAGCTGTGAACAACTTAGTTACCGGGGGAGCAACTCTAGGAAATGTTTAATGATCAAAGGCAAGGAGTGGGGTGGTGAAGCGTGTCATGGGCTTGGTTTTCTTCCCTGCAATCCACCATCATTTTTTAAATTACAATGAAAGGGCCAGGCAATGACTTAGCTGAGGTTTTCCAGTTGTCCAGGTAGCTCTGTCCCATAGCAGGAGCTCAGCAGTCACAGTGCCAGGGCACAGAGCAGCTGCCAGGGCCACGGACCATTTGCTCTTGAGCTGAACTGAAGATACTCACGGTAACTCCCTGAGAGCAGGCCTTGAGCAAGCCTGTGAAGAATTTGCCAAGTTGCTGAGCCTCAATTCCCCACCCAGATGGGAAGGTAACACAGAGAAAGGGTTGTGTGTGGATAAAGTGAGATGACATCTGCTGGGGTGATCAGAACTTGAGAGAACACTACACCATACACTGCATCTACTGTCCGGTCAGTGAGCTTTCCCAGGCTCCCTGAGCCCTGCACTCTGGCTGTGTCCTAACCTCCCATTTATCAAGCAGCCAAACAATCTCAACTACCAGTGACCAGGATATTTCAACGGAGTTAACACTGAGGCACTGCAGGATCCACCAAGGTTTCTAAATCATCAAAGAAAGGGCCAACCACATGTTTACATGCATGTGTATTTTATTGTATTCTGAACTTCTTTGAAAAAATGTATGACGAGCACTTGGCAGTGTTTCTCCATGTGTGTTCCAATAGGTTTTACACAATAAAAGGGCTGTATTGTCAGAGTTGGAAACTGTTGTTTCTGCCTGCTCAGCATGCATTCCTTCCCTACCCTGGAAACTACACCTCAGTTTTCTTTTAGGGACTTACCCCACACCAAGCCCCTACAGTTCATGTAGCTCACATGGGATTGGCCCCATACACACACACACTGCTCTGGCCAGGGGGAGCCCCAATTCAGGCCTGAATAATGCATATTTTCTATCACCCTGGCCATGATAATCAGTGCAGGGATCAGTCCAGGCAAAAGAGACACAATTAAGGGAATTTTACTAGAACCACTAGAAAGGAGAAGCCCTTTAGTTAAAAGGATGTTGTAAGCTCAAAACTGCTAGAGCCCTGGCCAGTATGGCTCCATTGGTTAGGTGTCTTCCCTGCACTGAAGGTTGCTGGTTCCATTCTCAGTCAGGGCACTGGTCTGGGTTGCAGGCTTGATCCTCATAGGAGGCAGCCAATCTATGTTTCTCTCGCATCAGTGTTTTCTCTCTCTGCTCTCTCTCTCTCTCTCTCTCTCTCTCTCTCTCTCTCTCTCTCTCTCTCTCTTTCCTCCCTCCCCTTACCCCTGTCTCCCTTCCTTCCTCCCTCCCTTCCTCCCCTTTCTCTCTGTCTAAAATCAAAAAGAATTTCTAGAAATTACCTAAGAAGGCAAGGCAGAAGAAAATAAAGCCAGAATATCAAAGGCCAAGCCCTTATCCCAGCATTCAAGCCCCTATATCCAGCTGTGCCTAACTGCTAATTCATACAGTGGGTTATAGAAAGGTAAACAAAGTTCCTGTACTATAGAGCCTTCAAAACATTAGCATGTATCATGAAACGCCAACAGGAGGATCTAACAGCCAGCCTTTCCCAAACTGATGTGT